AGTAACTGGAACAAAATTAATTCAGTCCTAGTAACTGGAACAAAATTAATTCAGTCCTAGGACTGAATTGATTTTGTTCCAGTTACTCCAAGTCGAATAATTAATGAGATGAGAAGTAATTTCAAAGCCTCCAATATCGGACTGGACGGGATTTCAAGTCCGCGCAATTAGTTCCAGTCCTCATTGTCGACTTTAAAATATTACGTCAAAATTCAAAATTTATGGAAGGTCTCTATTATCGTCTTCGTTTTCTCTGCATAATTAGACTCGTCGTCATTCCTACTAGAGTCGTCTTAGGGATGGCCCATAAGAAGGTCCGCAGGCGTTTCTGTCCCCCTCCCAAGCATTAACATGATTGGCGTGCAACCGCTTCTCTCTTTTCTAAACAGCAGTAAGAAAAGATTCAATCAAGCTAGAGAAATGATATTTTGCTTTCGTATTTAGAGAGCTAACTAAACAAACCGAGTAAATAATTAGTTAAAAAGTCAGTACATTCGTACGCAAATCCGAGAACAATGTCCGAACTTTTTGGTGACTGTAACACAATCCAACACGTTTTGGGCTAGTGCTCAGGTGAATTCCAAGAGGATTGTACATTTGTTTGCATATAATACTCGATGTTTCGACCTTGGTCGGCGTGTATCTGTAAAAGTACACGAATCTTGCAACGAACTCGTCCACCACCTTTGTTCCTACTGTTACAGCTTCCTGGTTTGAGATCGCATATAGGCTTCAATCCAATTGGTACAGTTATCAGCTACCACAAGCACTTACTTCTTTGAGCTTTTGAGTTGAAATGGGMTCAAGACATCAAGTGATTTACTCCCCGTTTGTGCTAGCTCCAGAAGCTACTTAATAGGTACAGCGTAAAGAACCACAGTAACGCCGTCAGGGCGTCAAAGTACGAGTTTGCAATTGATGATAGGTAGGGGTATTTGATAGTAACTTGGATTAGCTTCTGGTAATCGACGAAGAACCGTGCGAACCCGTATTGTTTCTTGACCAGGACAAGCGGTGGTGTCCAAGCGCTAGAGATGGCTCGATGATCCTGTCAATCAGTATTTTCTTTAAATATTTCTTGGCCTCTAATCGTCTATGTATCGGGTTCGTCTTACGAAGGTCGTTCGGTCGTTAGAAGAAGCAAATRCATCAGCATACTCGATCAACAGTGCTCTAAACTTTTTTCGTCGTTAACTGCTCGTCACCGCTTCGTCGAAACATGTCTCCCGGTTGCTTTGGCACAGTCGTGCTGCAATTCATCGGTTCCCTGGAAACATCCTTTTATACGATTATGTTTCACTGTCTTAAGGGCACAACATCCTTTTCCGTGTCGAGGAGCGTTTTCGCAGGTAAGAAACTTTATGTCTTTTCAAATCGTACCGAAGGCTGCAGCACGTCGAAATTGACTCTACGAGGCTACGTCTCGTGTTTCTAAGCTTTTTTCTAAGCTTGCTTTTATGGAGCTCTACAGCTCCCTGGGTGTTTATATAACAGTACAGAGACGTACGTGCGCGCTTTATATATTTCTTAAATAAAATGTAGAGTCACAAGCAACTACAGTGATACATAACAATATGCAATAAATAATCAAATAAAAAT